TGATTCTAAGTCACTGCTTTGGCTTGTGCTTTCAATAAAATGAGAAAGATAATGCTGTTTTTTTTCCCTTCTCAAACAGGGAGCTTATTATACCCAGCCAGTGTACGCGGCACAGCCTCACGTTATCCATCACACCACCGTGGTTCAGCCCAACAGCATCCCATCGGCCATCTACCCGGCCCCGGTCGCTGCACCCAGGACCAACGGTGTGGCCATGGGGATGGTCGCTGGGACCACCATGGCAATGTCAGCAGGTAAGAAGGAAAATCTTTCCATGTTCTGAGCCATAGTTTCATCTCTCAGGTGAGACGTAGCCAACCGAGCTGGTTACTTGTCCTGGATAAAAAGCTCCACGTGCATCCGATGTGCTTCCCGCAGCCTCACAGGGTGTAGCTGGCAAGTGGCTGCGGAAGTGCCTTGCACACAGCTAATTGCAGCCTCATCTGCTAGTTTTGCTTGCTGGTTACAACTCCTTTGCAGGCAAAAATCCATTAATTTGCTCCTGATACCGATCTAACTCAGTTTTTAGGTTAGCAGAGACCTTTTGTTTGGCTCACTCTGGAGGGATGCACTCGTACATCCTTAAATATATTATTCTTTCCTGTCCTTTCCACAAGTAAAGGAATAACCAGGCTTGTCCATCTTCATATACTGTTGTATTTCTATCCTCAAGTTCCTTTTTTAGGATAATTATGGTCTTGCTTTCAGTTGACAAAATGAACATTAACCTTGGTTTGTGTATCTCACATCCTCTGCCTTTTCTGCGCGCGATTGCTTCAAACTGCAGTTAATTGATAGCACATTAAGTAAGGATATGGGCCGGTTTTATTTTTTCCAAAGCCTCTATTTGTCTCATTAGCAATTCTTAGGATTCTATATTGAATTATGCCCCAAAATGCATCATTCATCCTTTTGCATCTGCATTAGCTGTGAAACAGCGCTCTGTCATGGGGCGAAGTCCCTGGTGCGAGCGGAGATATTGCAGCCTGGGTATGACAAGAACCACTCTTGAGAGATTTACCGCTGCTTATCCGAAGTGGATAGATGTCATTAATGCCCAGGGAACGTCTGAAGATTTCATTAGTAGCATTTGTAGGGAGATTCCCAGGAACTGAGAAGTTGTTTTGAGCACCCAGTTACCCCCAGAGCTGGTGGCTGTATTCCCCCTCCCCACTCTGCTGAGGGCACCGTGCACGTTTCTCACCTAAAATCCCTCTGCGTGTCAGTGCACACTGAAAGAGGCTGCGCCGAGCGTCCCTCTGCTACGTAGCCGAGAGAGAATCGCTCCTTCTGCTGTATCCCAAGGTTCTGTGGGTTTAAATAAAGCAAAAGAACTCCTCTGCCCTTGGGACGTGAGTGGCAAAGCTCATCTTAATTTTCCCTGGAAGGTTTGGGTTGTTTTTTTTTTCTCATCTCCTTTTACAACTCTCATCCCTTTCAGTTTGGTCCTTAGATGTTTCAGATCGCTGCAGCGATCTGCTGTTGCAATTTAGCCCGGTGCCTTAAGGAGGTGGAAGATGTCAGCGGGTTAGTGCCTAGCTCTGTCTTTAGGGATGAGGAAAATTGGAAAAAGACGAGTTAAAGGCCCGAAGTAGCATGGAAAATATGCTGGAGCTTCAGGTGGGTTTATTCTGTGCATGGTGCAGGCTGATACCAACCGCATGAGTCAAATGCCTTCGATTCAGGTCTCACAGGCAGAATAATATTTGAGAGAATTGAAGAATTTTTTAAAAGGCAGCTAGTGCTGTGCCTGCCCCTCGGCTGTGATCTGCAGCACCGCACCCTCAGGGTACTGCTCCCACGCTGGAGCTCTCCTCCTTGCTAAATACCTCTCCGTGCCGTTGCAGGAACCTTGTTGACCACCCCACAACACACCGCCATCGGAGCACATCCAGTTTCCGTGCCAACGTACAGGGCTCAAGGAACCCCCACCTACAGCTATGTACCTCCACACTGGTAAACCCACTGGCCAATCCATGTAAGTGCTGCCTTTGTGGGTCTTGCTCTGCCCTTGATGATTAATTAGCCACCGAGCACTGCCATCGCTTCTATCCTTCCCACAAAGCTGCTGAATCCCTTGGTCCAGGCGATAATTTGACGCCAGAAGAGCCATTTGGCATTGCTCCCTGACCCGGAGAGCTGCCTCCACTGATGTGGGGCTACGGAGGGTGTTAGCAAAGCATGGTGTACCTCAGCCTTACACCTTGCTGCTCGGGGCATGCAGGGCTTTCGCAGTGACCTCAGGGCCATCAAGCCAGTCGGGCGCTGCAAGGGTGAAAATTTTCATGCTTTAAGGTTTTGTGTGTATCACACTCCTTTATAGAGTCACAGGATGGTTTGGGTGGGAAGGGAACTTAAAGCCCACCCAGTCCCCCCCCCTGCCATGGGCAGGGACACCTTCCATAGCCCAGGGTGCTCCAAGCCTCATCCAGCCTGGCCTTGGACACTTCCAGGGATGGGGCATCCACAGCTTCTCTGGGAAACCTGTCCCAGTGCCTCCCCATCCTCTGTGGGAAGAATTGCTTCCTGATATCCAATCTCAATCTCCCTCTTTCTGTTTAAGCCCCTTACCCCTTGTCCTGTTACTCCCTGCCCTTGGAAAAAAATCCCCCCCCAGCTTTGAGATCACTGGAAAATGATGTTTTTTCCCTATGAAACGCGCTGGCAGATCATTTTTCCATTAGCTCTGGGGTTGCGTGCAGCAGCCTGCAACCAGCTGCAGTTGCTGTCGTGCTCAGGATCCCAGAAATACCAGCCCTCCGAGTGTTGCTGGAGCACTCAGCCCATCATGCCCAATTAATGGGCAGCGCAGCTGATGGGAACACATGATGCTGCCCGGAGAGGGAGCGTAGATCCCATCCAGCCCAGGGGCTTATGAAACTTCTCCTTGCTGCATACATTACGTTGGGCTAATCCTGCCCAGGACAAATTGTTGTGTAATTAGCAGAGAGCATCCCACCTCTATATTTTTAGTCCCGTGTGTTGGATACCACCGGCGAGCTGCTGCTTTCTCAGCTCCGTGCCCCCCAGGAACGGCCCGCAGAGCGGCGCGAGGGATGGTTAAATCCCGTACGCGTCGGCTGTACGTGCTGTAGAGGAGAGGAGGAGGGCCTTGTCTGAGCCTGCACCGCTTGCTTCTAACTCCTTGTTTTTCACGTTTGCTCTCTTTTCCAGATCCGGAGTCAAACATTGTATGCAACTACACAAGTCTTACATCGGCGCTGTGGCCGCTGTACCGCAGCACCTCGTCTGTTTGCAAGAACAAAAGAAAAAAAGAAAAAAAAAAAGTGCAAGGGTCACTTTATGCATTCTTTAGTGGTTTTTGTAAAAGCTGCTTTTTCTAATCTTCAGCCTCTTTTTTTTTTTTCTTCTCCCCTTCTCCTCCCTTCCTCCTCCCCATCCCACATAAATTGTGCAACACACATACTGACACTGAGCAATAGTCAAGTTCTCTCTTTGGTCCTAGCGTTTGAAAGCTCAGAATATTCACTTTTCCAGCGTTGCCCAGCCGAGTGGTGCAAAGATCCCCCACTTCTTGTTCGTTTGGGTTCTTTTCGTTATTTTTCCGTTGTCGTCGTCGTTGATGAGAGCCTAGAGTTTCTTTGGCTAGTGAGAGTGGTTTGATGTTCAGGGTACTATGTGAAAAGCACAGCGCTGGTAGGCAGGCTTATTCCAATTTGGTTTGGGTATTTTTAGTTGAATAATATAAATTATTTAATCTTCCATAACGTATTACAAGAAAATTGGTGTCTTCCAGATAGCTGTCGTGATAGATTATAAATGCATTATCTGCAGTGAAATTCTGAACTCATCCCTTCTTTTGTAGGAGTAAGAGAATATAAATATAATTAGCAACGTAACACACTTGTCTTAGGAAGTAGGACTGGTCACCATCGGGTCTTTGGTCTGCTTTTTCCAACTGGGCAAACGGATCTTTGCGTGATGGGAAGAGAGCAGCGGAGAGTCGTGGGCCCCGGTAGCATCTTGCACCTCTTGGGAAAAGGAGAGATGCTGCCTGGCTGCATCCCAAAACTGCATGAGGGAGAAGTTCCTTCCTTGCATGGCTACTATTTCAGGCAGAGGTGTGCTGGGTGGCTGGTGAAGGAAGAAAGATATCCAAGGGTTGGTTTGAGGAGCTTCTCCAGGTCCAAGGGTTGGTCTGAGGAGCTTCTCCAGGTCCAGGGGTTGGTCTGAAGAGCTTCTCCAGGTCCAAGGGTTGGTCTGAGGAGCTTCTCCAGGTCCAAGGGTTGGTCTGAGGAGCTTCTCCAGGTCCAGCTGTTGGACTGAAGAGCTTCTCAATGTCCAGGAGTTGGTCTGAAGAGTTTCTCCAGACCCTGGTGGTGTGGGGAAAGAGGGTGGCTGTTTGATGGAGAAGAGTCTTCGAGGCAGGGTGAGGGGGAAGATCGTGGCTTCACCTTGCACCCATGTTGTTGGCAGGGCTGAGACCAAACTGCAACGCTTCCATGGCAGTCGAGGAGCCCTCCTCATTCTTTGGGTTACAGCTGGACTCAGAGACTTCCAGGAGAAATGTTCATCCAAGCACAAATCCTGGCAAAGGCTGGAGGGAGGGTGTGATATCCAGCTGTTCTGCTTGGCGAGTGGGGAGAAGTTGGGGGGAAGAGGAAGCAATAGCAATAAACATGTCGCCTTCCTCACAGGAAGGCACCTGAGAAAAGGCAGGAGCAAGGAAGATGATCCACAGTTGATGTGGACTGGGCTGGGAGACAACGGGCGTACAGAGACTGTGGGCAATGGGGTAATTTCTGGGGGTTTTGGCTTACCCAAGGGTATGAGGTGGTGAAACCAACTGTGGCCGGTGTCATCCCACCTCGGGGTGTCCAAGTAGAGCAATAAGTTGTCTCGAGAGCAGCAGAGAGTTCCTAGTTGCAGACAGTGCTTGCGGCCAGTTTATTTTTAAATCCTTATCGCTAAACCCAGCGTAGAAACAAGGGTTTTCTTCTTTTTTTTTTTTCCCCTAAGACAAAAACAGCGTTGGGTTTTGATTTTTCTCTCAAGCGTGCCAAAAGAGTTACATTCACCCAGCGGTGTGTTTGCAACTCTCACGTCTCTTGGGCTCTGAGGTTGTCACAAGGGACCAAATCCAGAGCCTTTAAAGAGGTCAGGTTAGGAGATGTGGATGGGAATCCCTCCTGGCACTGCCTGGCGTGGGTTTCTGACCTGTGTGTGGCATTGAGTCGGTGCCCAGATGTCTCTGCTGGTGACTCTGCGTTGGATCACATCTCCAGAGTGGCTGAGGGCAGTGGGGACTGACACTAGAGGGTCACCTTGACCAGGACATGGTGGTGGTCAGACTGGAGGGTCCATCAGAAGAGCAGGAGACCAGTTGTTGGCACCTGGGGGAGATCTTGGTGGTGTCTCCCAGCTTGGCTTCTGCTGCCGTTGGGAGGACCTACTGGAGGTGCTTCCCATGAGCATGGTCCAGATGGGGAGAA